AGATCCAACGATCGAATGAAGAAAAATGTGCATGCATATGTAACTTGCAACGTCAAATCAGCATGTCAAGTAGTTTTATTGTCTTATACATTAACTCATTGGTTAAGGTAATTTGTTATTTCTCAGTTTTGACTACAATTGCACCTATCATTGCTTGCACGTCACGTAGTTTTATTGTCTTATACAATAAGGTAACTTGTTATTTCTCAGTTTTGACTACAATTGCACCTATCATTGCTTGCCTAACCTTTGGGCGTGTATCTTGCCTAACGTTTTTGTACAAGGAAAGGTGTGTGGAATGAAGTTCCATGCGAGCCATTCGTCAAAGTCAAGCCTAGAGAGATTCGTGTTTCTATTCCTTCACATGCATTTTCTTTTAATTTTCGCATGCAACAAATATGTGCTTGAGTCGCATCACATTTGTCTTCAGGTTTGGTGACTTCACATCTTACCTATGAGCCCAACTTCAATGGTGTTCTAAATGCCAAATTTTCCTCCAAATTCCCCCCCAAACACTCTCCAACCTAAGCTAAAACATTGGGTTAAAAGCCAAATCATAAAGCTGGGCCAAATTCCCCCCTGTGTGAGTGGACTCGTTGGCAATTGGGCCAGTCTCGGCCTGTCCACGCTCCAACGCGCTACACGCGTGCGCCTGCAAGGGTTTCCCGACAAGGTGGGCCCCTCTGTCAGGCTATGTATCGGCCACCCACTTGGGCTCCCAATGGCTATAATTACATCCAAGGGCTGTGATTTAAGGACCGTTGGTTAATCCAACAGTCTAGATTCAAATTTCATTTTTTTATAATATGTTATTTTAAAATACATTGAATTCAACGGCTAAGATCGAATATAATCAAATCTAATGGTAAAAAAAAAAGATCTAACGGCCCAAATTTAAATCCAACGGCTAAAATAATTAAAAAAATTATTTAACTCAAAATTCATCCAAAAACTCTATAAATACCTATGTATTTGTTCAAACATCCACACAAAACTCAATTTTCTCCTACAATTCTTCCAATTTATCTTTCTACCATTTCTTTCAATTTCCAAATTGTTCAACATGGCAAGAGAGCATATTAGAGGTCGTACTTGGACCTGTGAGGAAGATGTGGCTTTATACTTGGCATGGGTTTGAAGTTAATTTGATGATGGAGGACCTCAATAAATACACTCTAGAGAGGAAGAAGTTCTTACCTGGTAAGCAAAAAGAAATTTTGCGAAAGTCTGCCTCAAAGAGTATGTTTCAAGATGATGAATCCTCTGAACCCTATATCCCAATTCAATCGCGAAGTCCATCATCAAGTGAAGATGGTGGATATGATTATTAAGTTTATGTAGTGTATAAATTATGTGCTTTATTAATTGTTGTTTGTATTAAGTTTATGTAGTTTATTAATTATGTGGTTTATGAATTATCAGTTGCATTAAGTTAAAGACTTGCTTTGTGGAAAATTTAGTAATTTTTCAATATTTATTGGAATTTAAATATTTTTAGATAAAAATATTCATAAAATTAATTTACGATAGTCTACATATTTATTTATTTATTAAAATTTAATTTAAGAAAAAAAAAAATAGCCTAAATTCATTCTTTAATAATCTCGAGCTAAAATTTTAAGCCAGAAGGGTTGGAACAGAAAAGCTAAATTTTCTGGGCTAAAAAATTTGGCTTTTAGCCCAACCATTGGAGTTGATTTGAGAGATTTTTCAGTGTGACCGGTATACGGGGTGGTACATCACATGTCACTATACAAATGATGAGATATGTTTGTTAAAAAGTTAATAACTTAAAAAATAAAATTTTCACCACTTACGTAAAAACACGTGATGTACCACCATCCGTGTTCCCGTCACAATAAAAATTCTTACATATGAGCTTTTGAAAAAATGAGTCAAAGTTACACATTTTGATTGGGACATCACAAGACATACATTAATATGAAATCCACATCAACAAGACTCAACACAATTTGCTCATGAAAAGATTCAAGCAACACTCGTCTAAATGCTGAATCATAAATTCCATTAACTTGTTAACTTTTTACGTCATCTCCGATCTCTATCAGCATATTGGTTGAGTATTTGAAAAATGTTGTTGGTTTATCAAAATTTGATACCAAAAGTTAAACTCTAGATAATTTACCCAATTTCTTTTCTTTAAGAAATCAAAGTGATACAGTATTGAATCTTTAACGAATCGTGATAGTTGCTGATCCGTATTGTTTTAACTACTCTAACATCGACTCAATGCATTTTTCCTACTCGTTCTCAACCTCAAAAACCCAAACACAATACTTTCGTATATAACCAGATTTTGGTTCACGTAGGGTACACAAATTTCTGCCTTGAATTGAAAATTCAAAACTGGCCCTTGAATATACAAAGTCTCTCTGGTACTGTGCTGGACTTGTAGATTGATACTCAAACTCTTGAAGGGTGACATGGCAGGCTCAGAAGTCTCATGCACCAACAGTTGGACACTGTGTGAGAACCATTTTCTCCCATATATGAGGGGATCGGGTCAATTTCCAATGAGAGTTCGAAGATGCAGAACACATGGGTCCCTACAGAGCACACGTGGCTCACCACGTACCAAGCCGAGGGAATGGGATCCTCTAAGGATCTTTTCTATCAAATTTATTTAATCAATCAATCTAGATTTTTTAAATTTGATACAACGACTAAAGTTATTATAACTTTTAAAGGGGTTCTTTGTTTCTAACTATTAGATCAAATTTTAAGGATCCAGATTGTTTGATTTGGTGGATTTGGTGAAAATGATCCAGATATCCCTTTCCCGAGCAGAGAATCATGCCAACCGACACGTGTCCATTTCGTACAACACAATTGCCAGTAGCCGGTGCCCATTATAAACAACGACTTCTCTATTTCTTTATCAATTTTTCGCGTGGGCGAAAACAGTTATGTAACAGGTGACGTCACTATAACACCAATGAAACTTTATTCCATTAAATAGGTAAATCAAGTTACCATTTCACTCCAATATTAACAATTCATGGCTACTCAAATAATGAGTAGAAACTCATATTTAAAATTATTTGTTGTTACTTTATAGAATTTTGGTTTTGTAATAAGAACCGTTTATATTATAAATCATCATGTAAAGATTTTATCTGTAAAAAATCAATTAAAAATAAGATCGTTTAGTCATCGAACTGTATAGAAAATAAATGAACGGAATTGGTAAAAGTAATATAAACAATCTATGTATTTACTAGAATAGATTGACTAAACGATCTTAATTTTAATTGATTTTTTGTGGAGATGATCTTTGCAATGTGATTGATAATATGAATGATTTTGATCATAAACACAAAGTTCTGTAATTCAAATACTAATAGTTTTGAGTAAATTTTTTTACTAATATACTTTATAATTAGAGATTAACTTACATATCACTCGTACAATGATTGTGTCGTACGTGCTCATAAACTTACATGTCAACTTTTATCTACATAATATTTGTATTAATGAATGCATTTTTGCTTATCATCATTTAGTGTGGTGTATGCACACTACCCTATTTATCACTATTATATGAGTTTGAATTTTGAGATTTGTTCATATCCACTACATGAATCTCGAAATTCAAACTCATCTAATGATAATAAATAAAATGATGAGTATACACCACATTAAATAATGATGAGCAAAAATAAACTCTGTTTTAACATCCGAAAATATTACAATGACAGTGTATTTGTGTCGACCGCTTGCTTTTACGGGAAAGAGGGAGATGCCACGTAATTTGTTCCCACCACCGATAAAAATTTCTTATCCCCCCCTTCCAAAGTAACGCCTTATTTTCCCAAGTATGTGTTGTTTTTTGTTGTTAATGTAAAGAAGAGGGAAGAAGAAGGATTTATACCCATGTTGTTCAGCCACATAGAGGATCTAAAAACTTGAGGTTTTGTGTTTGAAATTTGTTGCTGGTGTAAAAATCAGACTTGTGGTCAAGAAGATGCTGAAATGCCTCTGCGAGTCTTCCGACTTCCAAAAAGAGTGAATAACAGTAGCTTATTACCAGTTGTCATTTTTTTTAAAATAAAATAAAATAAAATACCTTAACTAAATGAGTTTGTTCGGCTATTTTAACAAAAAGTTTAGCAAAAACTCACCAAATTCAAATTCAATATTTAGTTACACATTACATTTTCTATAACTAAAATTCTTTTATTTTATTTTCATACCTAAAGTTTTATTTTTGTGTCACTTTCATTCTGCCCTCAACACTTTTGTCAATTATTCTATCCTTAACATTTTTGTCAATTGTTCAATTAACGTGGGAAGATGACCCGCCAACTTTGTGCATCGCGACTTATTGATCTGGCCATATTATGCCAAGTAGACTCAATTAAATAATAAAATATAATTAATAAATAAAGTGGTGGACGTTACTATCACTTAAAAGTAATAAGAAAACTCTAATAATTAATTGTTTTATATGTTCATATAGGCCTATAGTGCCACTTTTTTGCATAATCTTTGTCTAGTAGCATGCCACACCATCAATTAACTGAATTCTAAACAAAAATAAAAGAATAAAAATATCTCAAAATTTAAATCTTAAACATTAAAATGAAATAAAAAAACTTTAAATAAGAAAGTTAAAAATTTACGAAACTTAACAGTAGTAAGTTGAGAATTACTCTAAAAACAAACAGCGGTATATAGGAGAATCCCAAAAAGAAAATGTAAATATTTTCTCATCATGAACTCAATATATTAAATAGATTGCTTAAGGGGAGGGATTTCCATTTTTAAAAAAAAATAGAACCACGCTCCTCATTGTTAGATTGGTTTTAATGAAATTATGAGGTTATGATTAAAACACAGACCACACAATCTCAACCACATAATTTCATTAAAATTAAATCTAACGATAAAAAATGTGTTCCCATTTTTTTTTAGAAAAATAGGGATCCCTCCTTTAGCAATCTGATATATTAAAATACCGTGAGTCGCCTGACGAGGAGTAATTGCAGAGAGGGCAGAGAGCTTAGCTGTCTCGCTCTCCGTCTTATCTTTCCTGCTCCCTCCCTCTTTAAATTCCTTCCCTTTCCGTGTAATCACTCTCCATATTTCCCTTTGTTTCTAGAGAGAGAGAGAGAGAGAGAGAGAGAGAATATGACTGGCTTTGCAGAAGGAGAAAATGTCACCCTTGATCTTCTCAAGAACAAAATGGCTGAGTTTGCCAAAGCGAGAAACTGGGATCAGTTCCACAGCCCCAGAAACCTTCTCCTAGCTCTGGTTTGTTCATCTTTCCAACCCCATAAATATTTCTTCTGCTTTTTTTTTGGTTGATAATTTCTAATGCCATTTTTCATGTCCATGAACTATTTGATATGTGTTTGTTTAATAATTCGGGTAATCCATGAAATGGGGAGAAACCAAATTAATAAAAATTTGATTGCTTTGCTATTTTTTTTCATTTTTTCATATTTTTGCGTTCACTTTCATCAATGGATTGTGAAATATTTGACCAAATTTAACCACAGCTGACTTACTGTATTTTGGTTTTTGCATATTTGATAATAAACAAATTGGGGTTTTGTGGTTTCCGGCTTCTTTTTTCTATTTTGCACGCGCTTCTTGCCTTCAAGTGGGTTCTTATTTTTGTTTGTTTCCAATTCCTTTTCACTCTCTTAACAAAACCCAAATTGAGTTTTTCTTAAAGTTTGTGACACCCAAATTAAGTTTTTTCTTAAAGTTTGTGACTTTGCTCGTATTCGAGCAATATTCTAATTAATCTAATCAATCTAATCTACTTGGGAGAGAGCAAATTCGAACTTGTTAAGCGCTGAGTGAAATGTTCAAATTTGACTTTCTATGCAATTTGGAAAGAGATGTTTTCTATTTTTCGTTTTTGTCATGTCAAAATCTTCAAGTGCCCCACTTTTCTATGTTTTACCCTTTTCCCAGAAGTGCTTATTGGCTTGTACTTTTTGTCCAAACAACCAGAAGGATGTTATTCATAAATTGATGCAAAGGTCTGGCCTTTTTGATGAAATCTCAGGTGTGCGAAGTGGGAGAGCTGTCTGAGATATTTCAATGGAAAGGGGAGGTTCCAAAGGGGCTGCCAGATTGGAAAGAGGAGGAAAAGCAGCACCTGGGGGAAGAGCTTTCCGATGTGCTGCTTTATCTGGTCAGGCTCTCTGACATTTGTGGTGTTGATCTTGGCAAAGCTGCCCTGCGCAAGGTTGAACTCAATGCCATTAAGTATCCTGTTTCACAAAAGCAGCTCCAAACAACCACAACCACCGCCACTGCCACCAATGAGGAAATTGCACAGATGGGTTAATTTTCTGAGTGAAATTTTCTTGGCTTCCAATTACCAACCAAAAGTTTTACTTTTGCCGAGCTGTCAATACTATATTTGGTGTGTTTTGGGGGGTCTGTGTAGGGATGGTTTCCAGCCTTTCGTTGCATGAGTCAGCGATTTTGTGTATCGATTCTCAGATATTTTCTTACTGTTTTGGCTGTACTGATTCACTGAATGGAATCTCTCTGACAAATCTGAGATATGGGTTTGACGGTATTGTGTATATTTTCCTTCATAACATATACTAGAATTTCCCATTTATCCGTCTTTTTTCCTTCTGGACACTCTTTGTCTATTTGATTTTGTTTGTATTTATTCAATTTGAAGACGATAGGTGAATAGTTAAAAAAGAAAATGAATTAACGTGCGAAAATCACTTTTCACGGCAAGTGCAATGGTCAAATCTATTGATAGGATTTTACCTACTTTTTAAATAGTTCCATGCGTTAGAGACTGGAAGTTGTTCACAAGTTACGTGGTATTTTCTTCGATAAGATCTCTTTGACGAGGATTTGGAAAATTTTTTAATTGTATTTATTCATGGTATTTCGAACGATTATTTTTTATTAAATATTGTTTGTATTTAATTTTAAATAAAAATATTTAAAATAGTTTTTAATCATACAATTTCCATGATCGAAATAAATCATAGACATCTTCACAAAGAGAATCCGGATCGTATTTCCTGATGTTGACAGGGCAATAAGTCGTCAAAATTCTGATTAACTTTATGTCCATCCAATCAAACAATTCAACAGCACAGTAACTCGAATTTGAAACATTCATCGAATTGATTCCTCTTTGAATGTGTTATTGGTATCTACAATTTTGTATTACGTTGCTGTACAATTCGGCAAGAACGGGATGGTGTATCGTGATCAATCGAACTAGGTGAACTAGGAATACGAAGTATGCTATTATAATTAACTTGACTAAACTTAGTTCGAAACAACAACGAAAACCTGAATCAATTAGAAAAATAAAAGACTTCACAAACAGTGAAAGTGCAGCATAGATAGCTGAGAGCGTGATGATACACGTCGTATAAGGATATAGACATACGGTAAAGCTTAAGCTGAAAGAGGCAGCTCAAGTGAAGTGAATGTTGCTCAACGCAAGAAATCAACGAGGTTTTTAATGCAGGATAAGGTCGGTTTGTGCTTATACGCATTGTGACGTTAAATGTACCTACAGACACTTATAGCTAACGCTTATTTGGCCACTAGATTTGATCCAATGTAAACCATCACTCAAGTTTAAGCATTTAGTTAAATTCAGCGATCAAATGTATCGCTATTGAGTGTACGTAAGTACTTAAGATAAATTGGACCAAACTTTGGCACCTGCTTTCCCTTTCGCTGACGGTGTTATCACAATCACAGGTACTTCAACCTCAAGGTAGTTGGGCGTATGGAAATTATTGGTCAACATTCACAAAAGAAGAGTGACTGTATGGCATACATCACACATCCAGCAACGAAACGTGGGTTAGAGTAATTGTGCATCATAAATCGTTGTCACGGTCCTAGAGTCAATATTGGTAAAGGTACGAAAAATGGATCTCTTGGAGAAAATTTTAAAGCAATTATTCAGAACAACAAATCACATGTTGGGAGTGTAAAATATTGTATATAAGTGGGTAGTTGTATAAAATAGTTGTGCGCGTTTTTTTTTTCTTTTTTTCTTTTACTCAACAAAGGAAAGATCGACTTTAGACATCTTTCAACATTGAGCATGTCCAAGGGAGTTAGCAAATTATCTTCTAAAAGTGTCCTTTGTTTACCAATGTGACACTTATATGCTACTCTAAATTTTTTTTACTCCAACTCGCTCTTCAACCAACTCTTCAAATCTTATTCTTCATCTTAAAATATAATCTAAAGCATGCCTTATTTTTGTCGGGTTCAGTTTTATTTTTCTAATACTTTATTAAACAATACTTTCGATTAAAATATACCGTGTGACTCGATTTGTTATGTTGAAGAAGTAGCAATTGACCTTGTAAATACACAAAATCAATTGTTACTTAATTTGCTAATTAAATTGCTACCTCCATTGAAGATGCGTTTTTCCTACTTGGAGCAGCGAATTAATTTTTCTACTCAATTGCTACCACCTAAAAAATTGCTCCTAGAAAAGAAAGTATCGTAATCTAAGAGCTAGACCATTAGAATTGTCCATTTCCATTGGTGAATCCTAAGGGGATATGGGCTTCAAGTTATGCTTTACTTCTTTAGGACCATGCCCATAATTTATTCCACACAGCTCCAAAATATTTGGATTGGGCTTTCCGGCTAAATGAGCTTTTGGACTACTTTTTGTAAATCAAGAGCATATCCTAGACTGATCTGTTGTATGAGCAAGGGTATGTGAACTTGCAACGGAACAGACACGCTGTCTTAGCCAGTCGAATTAAACACTTTTTTATGTTTGAAAGTGGACACATTGAATTGTTCCTTCCTATGTAAATTTACAAGAAAAAGAAAAAGAACCAACTTGACACAAAAATTTCACAACACAGATATTCTAGCCTCTTTTTGAATGCGAGGACGATTCTTTTCCCCCAAGTGTCTGAATTATAGCTTCCAAAAGTTTGATTTCCTTATCACGCTTGGCGATCTCTTCTTGTTTGGCACGCAACTCTTCCAGGTGCAGCTCAAATACCTTTGAGGTGTTCTCGAGCTCTTTTGTAACTTCTTGCGCATGCAACTCAGCAGCCTTTTCTGCTGCCTCAGCCTGTCGTTTTTCTGCCCGAGCACGAGCAGCAGCTGTAACGGCAGCATCAAGTTCTCTTTCCAAACTTTCTACCCTTTGTTCAAGAACCTTGATGGTTCGAGCTTGTTCAGAACAAAGTGAGGCTTTGGCAAAGGTCTCTTCTTCAACAAAGACAGCCTTTTTAAGAATTAGCTTCTGGAGAGACTCCAAATTGAAAGCCATTTCTGTCAAATTGCCTATGGCTCCGTTCCATCTTTCGCTCCCTTTGCCCTTGTCCTCCATTTTCTTTCGTTTCCACTGCTTGAAGATGATCACAGTATCCTACTGAATCATGCAAAAGCAATTTAAAATCAGAAAATGTATTTCAAAATAAGAAGCTGAAAAATCAACACAAAGGAAAAAGAACTAAGAGCAAAAAGGATCTTCAGTAAAAGCAAAATCACAGTGGCACGAATACACCACACCGATTACACACTATATTCCTAAGCTGAATTTTTCCTATAAATTTTCAGCATTTATGGGAAGTTAGCCTCCTAAGTTTTGGAATTTGCTTCAATGAGCCTTCGTGTCTGTTGACTCAAATACAATAACCAAATGAAGTTTCAAGACATAAGATCCGAACAAAAATTTCAGAGACGACATGACACACCTTCTTAGTCTTTTGGACAGAGGCTGTCACCATTAGAATCAAAACATGCACATTCTGAATATTTCAAGCATGACGCATCAACTTAAGCACAACCAACAAATAAAACCGTAACCTTGGGCCAAAAATTCTAGTATGACAGAGTAATCAAATTTCACAAATTCCATAAATAAATAGATAAAATGCATCCCACACAACCCATAATACCATACTACCATTCCTACTCTTATTCATCCACCTCATTCCAACGGTTGGTCTACGCAAGGTTAGGGCTCTCCTCTTGCCTCAGAACAGAGAAAAGATGAGCAGGTACGAGAGAAGGACCACTTTTTTTGTATTGGTGGGGTATTAAACCGACTGTTAAACCCGCGCTCTATTGCGTGGCTTTGTTCTTTGACTTCTCTAATGAATAAAGAATAGTTCGACACAACATAATTTTGTTTAGCAGATACTGGATAAATCATACTGCTTTTGAGAACCAAGAGTAGCAAATTACCAGAAGCTATGTTAACGAAAAAATGGCCATCCGCTTCTGCTGCCCTACCCATATATATTGTAGGCACAAAACTACAGAATGCTCAAGAAAATTTGGATTTAGCACCAAACTAAACATCAAAACTGAATAATCTGCGATTCGCGAAACGAAAATTATGTACCAGCTAAACAGCCAGCTCCTCTCCAGTTTGTACATTTACAACAAACACTTACCACCACTTGAATTTCATTAGAACTTTTTTGGGGCAAAACATTTTCCCATAAAGTAGCATACCACCATTCCTACTCTTATTAAAAAATTGAGCTTCCAAACCCAACACAAATCACACACAATCACAAAAATGAGATATGGGTACTTGAGAGGAAACAAATCAACCTAATAGCAAGAAACAAAATCGCAAAATTATCAAATAAATTGGGGTTCTGATCGGGAATTTGATTTGATTTGATCCAGTAGAATTCAAACGCTGTTGAGTCATCATCAAAATTCAACACCATGAAAAAAAAAAATCTCAGAATTACAAAATTGAGAGATGGATATGTTAGAAGAACTCACGCCGAAGAAGATGTTCTCCTTGAGAGGCTGGAATCAGAGTCGACGAAATACAGGATTCTCCTCCTCGTTGAGTAAGGGGAAAGGGTGAGTTTGGGAGTTTTGAGATCCAAGGGGGCGGAATTCACTTTTGGTCCCACTAATTTACTTCAGATTCCACTTTAGTCCACGTCGTTTCCGTCGTATCTTATTTTATCCCATTAATTTACTAATGATTCTTAATTTATTTATAGATTTCTCTGTTTATGATTAAAATTATTCATTTTATAAGTCACTTAAAGACATTTCTTAAAAATTAAATCTTTTAAATAAATAGACGGTTCATAATACGTCGTTTTTAAGGACTATTTTTGCTATGTCTTGAAAATGAACAAAAAGTGAGCGTTGCCCTTAAATTTGCCAACCTTTACCCATCCCATGAGATTGGTTTTTTTATTTTTTTTTGTTAGTGTATTGTTGTGGCATGCAATTTTAGTTTTGGACAGTTGTGTTTGGGTTTTATACTATTCTATTATGTTATGAATAACATATCTTTTTCATTGAAAGAAAAAAAAAATGTAAAACTGTATGCATCTTATATCTGTATGAAATAGTCCGTAAAAGAGAAATATAAAATCTCCAAAATCAAGCGAGTTTTGGAATAAATCAACCAATCAACTAGTTATAACCAGATATTAAACTCGCTATTCACGAAAATCAAATTTAAAACATCATATTTACAAATAAAGAAAATTCACTCAATCATAATACTAATGGAAATTCCCAAGTATTTAGAACATCCTTGTGTGCAAAGAAAAACATGTACCGATCCCTCTCAGGCGCATGCCACATAAAGCTAATTACAACTACCGGCCTGCATGTTGTACTCAAATCAAATCATTGATCTAAGCCATCTTTCTGATCAAGAAATTTCGGAACATTTTCATGCCGCATGTCGAAGCGGCGGACAGATCAATAATCTAGTTAATTAAAGTTGCCTTCATAAACTTAAAACCAGAGATGTGAAGGGTAGATTTGTGAGCAAAAAAGATGTTTAATCTCCACCTCGACGAGTGAAACTTACTTGCGACGTGTTTATACGTGATAAGTAAGACATGAACAATTGGACTACAAACTCGTGACGTCCCATTAGTAACACATCTCACTACAAGTTCACTAAAGGGATTGTCTTTTGATCATAAGCTGACTGTCTTTTGATCAGAAAGTGTTCCTCTGATCATGCTTACCATAACCCTAAACATAATTAGAATAAAGCTCCTTCTGAGGTACACTTGTTTATTCCACACTGGCATCAGGCCATCAAAAATCATGATTGCTGCCATTATGACTAATCATCATTGTTAACACCATCATTTCATCTTTAATCCACACTATATAAGTAATTAGGAAGCATCACAAAATCACTAAGCTTAAAATTACATAACAACAATAGGGATGTTGAGGAGAGGCAGTGTCACCATATCTCTGTTGTCAAATGCCACTGTGTTGGTCGGCTGGTGCCAGCCACGGAGGCGGCTGAGAAGACGGAGAGGCTGCACTGTGTGGCTAGGGAACAAGCGCCGACGGTTCAGCCCAGGGTCGTGGCCCGTTTTACAACTGGGGGATATGGCCGGCTCTATTTGGATGTTCATGAAGATGGTGCCGAATGAAAGGTGGATTGATGCTTACAATTGGTCTCTGCCGATTTTACGTCCCCAAATGTTTCCTCTTTGTTAGTTCTGCAACTTCTTTTGGCTTGTTTTTCATTTCTTGTTGAAATCTATAAGGAGGTTTGTAACAAAACCTCTCGATTGAAAAAAAAAGTATCTAAATCGAATCAGGCTTTTAACATTAAGCAAAATCGAGCAGATGTTACATGGAGATCTTCAAGTTTACAAGAAACTTTGCAAAAACCAACTGCAGAGAGACCAACATGCTAAATCTCTGATTTCAGTAAACCAGAAATTAAAATACAAGATAACAGATACAACACAAAGGATAACTATCTTGCCTAGCCAAAATAGAGGAGGGACACCAAGCAAACAACGATGTTAGGCTGATGAAGCAGAAACGAATTTGTACAACACAAAATTATCAACCTGTGTCCATATACGAATGGAGCATGTTCTAACGATATCTGAAGTTCACTGCATGCACAACTAGCTTTTACCAAAGTATGAAAATAGGGTAGGTTGCTTGTCTAGAGAACTCTTTGGGTTAACTTTCTTCTTTGCCAGACTAGCAGATTTCTTATTCGTTACATAAGCAACTGGCTTAGAATCAGCTGAAAATTCTTCGTAGTCTCGCTTTGCTTGGCCCTTAGATACACCTTCTTGAGAGAATGTAGACACATTACATTTTGATTCATCTTCACATTGTTCAGTAGAGTACGGCTGTTCTGTGTCCTCTTTGCTTTCAGGTTCTTCTTTCACCATTTTTGACAAATCTTTCTTCGCAGACGTGTCATCAGAACTTGTATCCTTTGGGTTTAATTCTTCTTTTTTGGTTCCCTTCGCTGAGAAAAACTTTGTGATTGAATTATTCCCCTCGGTCTTCAACTGTATCTGCAGAAAATAATACAATCCGTAACCAGTCCTCTTAAACCTTAATGAATTCAGGATTCCAATCTCCCAAGTGGAAACCAAGACACAATCACCAAACCATGAGAACTCGATATAATTAAGAACATAGTTACCCCAGAGAAAGCAGCGTCACTGTTTTGTCTATCAAATCATGCAACACATGGTATGCGGGGGAAAATGTAATGAAAAAGCCGGTCTTTAAACCTTGGGTGTGGAATGCTACATCATGATTCTCTTGTTAGGCAAATTGTCCATGAGACCACCACCTTAACACCTTTATCTTGTCACTTCTACAAAGTTTACCTTCTATCGGAACACCAGCTAAAGGATTACACAAGTGCAAGAATCATTTTGTCTGATTCAAGCTGGCACTGTTTCTCCAAAAGAAAAAACTAGCAGTCAAAATTTCCAATTTTGCTGTGTCGTAGAGATCAAAGTGAAGATTATGGCCTTTAAGTCCCCCTCCATATTTTTCAAATATAAGCATCATGTGCATAAAAGAAAACATGAAACTGCCTCACCTCATTGATGCACTCTGGCCCATCAAAAGACACCTTACCCATTGCTGGTGTCACCGGGTACCATACCTGGTGAATAAAAATTTTAGCAGTCAATAAATTGTACTTTCAACGTTTCATACCCAGATCTTTGAATAGTAAATGTTATGTTTCTCCCTTCTAAATTCAACAACCACTTACCAAATCTGGACCTTCGTATGGTTTAAGTAATGAATCAAAATTGGACGATGAAGAACCATCTAGCCATGTGTCAGTTGATTCTTTATCACCCAAGATAACAGGCATCCTGTCTATAATGATAAATTAACCAAAATAGTAGAGAAATGCTACTCAACTTTGGCAAAGAGTGCCACAGCAAGAATCGCTGCGACAATTAACTAGTGGGAGTAAAAGGAAGGTACTTCACACAACAAGGACTAAATAGTAAATACAGAGCTGAGCCAAGAAACTGTAACTAGAAAATTACAAAGTGTATATGTATATGTAAAAATAAGAAATCACTCCAAGTTAGTCACATCAGCATAAGCTAAATAGTCACGCAGTAATTCATAACTTAGAACCATGCACACATATTATGGTATTTGAAATGTAGTAAAAATCAACAAACATGAGCAGGACTCACCATGCAGCCACCCTAAAGCTGATGATGAGGAAGTTGTTATGATAGTGAATGTGTAAAGTTTCTCTCCTGCAGGATAACGTACATTGGAGATATCAGCACCTAGAAACAAACTTACTTTAAACTTGACAACTACTGATAAAGAAATTTCAGATAAAGTCGGTTTTGAAAACAAATTATCATCACCTAGACCAAAACAAACACAGACATAATAGCAAAACAAATTAACAAAGGTGGTGGTCAAGGGGAGGGGATTTTTCGAACAAAAGAGTTGTCATTAACTACCTTCAGAGTTCTCCCAAGAATCATAAAGAGCAGCAAACAGAAGAGGCCTGCCGTCCTTGAAATGGACGTAGTAAGGCTGCTTTTTAGAACCATCTTTTTTCCATTCATAAAAACTGAAGGATGCAAATTAAAACATGAAATAAGAAACCACTATATGATACTAATCAAACAGCAATTATGAAAGGGAAAGGCACATGGAGTCCCTCCAATACAACCAACAATACATTGAAAAAAATGTCACAAACGATAAAAAGCATAGTAAATTGAATCATACATACCCTTCAACCGCAACAATGCAGCGGCTTTTAGGAACCAAACGACGAAAAGAAGCCTTTTCACAAATGGACTCAGACCGAGCATTAAACTGCAAAGTTTAGCACAAACCAAATCATGTAATCATCCAACAAAAACTGTTTAACTTTACCACTCATCCCATAAAAAACCAAGCTTTCTCGTGTCAGTCATGAAAAATTGAAACTTGAGACACATCACATAGATTGAAGTTTAAATTACTACTCATTTCCATAACATCATTGCAAATATCATTAAATTAATATAAATAATCTATTAATCAAAACAGTGGCTGTTAATGATAATCCTAAAGCTATTACCATCCTGTAGAAATCGGGCTTTTCGGTTTTCTTGGTGAAACTAGGAATCAGCCCCCATTTCATACATTGAAGAACGACGCCGTCGCCATCCGCCCCGTCTTCTCTCCGAACAACAGGCAAATTCGATCCAGGCGACACATTGTACGACGGACGAAACCTAATTCATATTATACACAAAAAAATTCGTCTCAATCAGTAAGAGCAAGTAATTAAAGAGGGCATAAGACCTGTTTGGTTGCTAGGAAAACGAGAGAAAATTACAAAAAAAAAAAAAATCAAAAAAGAGGGGAAAGAGTTTTTGTTGACGTTTGCTCACCGGTCCATGTTAACGGCGCGGACGGGGGCGTGGGTGCGGTGGCAAGCCCTAGTGACGTCATCGGCTCTGAGAGTACAGCGAGCCCTTCCACACATCTCGATACAAGAATCGAAGCAACTGAACAAAGGGCGGGAAGCGAGCGAATGCGGTGGGACTTTCTGCCCGTACAGAACTATTGGTGACCGTTTGATTCAACTGGCTTGAGATTTTTTTTTTTTTTTTTTGGGAGATTTGACGAAAAGATCGAACTGTTTATTTTAATAAAAAAATTATATTTTTATACTAAAAAGTCAATCATAGTATTATTTACTTTATAATTTATTTTGGTATTTTCTTTAAAAATTAAAATTTTCAAACATTTTTCATTAGTTTTTTTTTTTTTTTTTGGTAAACACTGGCTTGAGACTCGAGTCCGTCCATCTTGGGATCAAAATCATATGATCAAATGATCCGGACCTTTGAAATTTCATTCAATAATTAAAAATTATTATAAATTTTAAGGGATCAAAACAAGCTGACCATTCGAAAAAATTTCAAAGACCCGGATCATTTCATCTAGTGGCCTTGGTAGAAGAGATCTGACTATCTATCTCGTGGTAGCTTTCTCAATTATCCGACCATGATGAAAGAGATCCGGCTTTCCATCCTGTGGTAGTTTCCTCTATTTCCAGATGTCAACGTCCTGATTCGGACACGTATACGGAACAAAAACAAAATAAGAAACAAATGCAACCGCTTCGAACCGGTTAAGCCTTCGATAAACTTGGCGGGTCTTCTAGCGGTAGCAAAATCCCCACAGCACACTCTACTGCACCAACTCGGAAACGCTGCTTCCCAAATGCTGTCCCTCGCAAAACGACTCAAGAACTCGCCGTCATGCTTCCAGGCTAGTGCGGCCGCCGCCACCCCAACTTCGCTGGGCCAGGACCGAGTCCGGGCCATCTCGGCGCCGCCACAAGTCTCCCGCCATGGCCATGCGGAAGCAAGAGCAGAAGTCCGAGTGGTGGACTGTCGACGGCGAAATCCACGAGATCGGCGATCACGTGCTCCACGTGAGCGGTTCGTCATTCCCAGGGACAACATCCCCAACAAGCGCCGTAAGCAGCTCAGAGACCAGTTCATGCGCCGCACACGCCTGGTCCTCAAGGAAACGGTTCGTTTTTGCGAATTCTGTGGGTTTGTATTAATGTGATTGTACTTTAATTTGTTGACAGGAACACGAGCCTTGGTGCAAAAGATACATGGAGCTTTATCAGGAGCTTAGGGAAAATTGGGAGAGACTGTATCATGCGGAATTATGAATCTGCTGAGGACGATGATCACGATTTCTCTCTGTATAGTTGTGTCATGTTGATTACTTTCTGCAAATTGTTTTCTGTACAGCAAAAATTAGACGTGGGCAGTTATTTAATTTTGAAATTTCGTTGCACGGTTATATAAAAGATGGAAACTTAATTAAATTCTGGACTTGTTAATGTATACGAATGTAATTATTACTCGGTGTTCGCAAGTAGTGCAAATTATCACTGTTCATTTTATATCTAATGATATTCGGATGCTGATTTTGCTCCGGTTGTTTGTGTTTCAGGAACAAGCGGTTCCATCGTGAGCCATATAAGGTACAAATTTGATGCAATTAATTGGACTAGGTCGAATATGTTGTAGCTTTGCAGATGTATATATGATGCACATGGCGCCTATACCTTGCAAATGATACGTTAGGAATCATGAGTAGACAGTCCACACCTAATATGTTGTTTAATCTTCAAAGCTGGTCCTTTGTGTTATTCTGAATGCAGTATTTCTCGCTCTCTACAATGATTTTATAACCGAAGTAAATTGGATTTTGTCATCAAGCCTTTGATATGACACCCTGAATGTTTTAATAGTGTAAGATGCGATAACTCTGTATTCATAGGACCTGCTATGCACTGAACGGGCTTTATTTTGTTGCAGGACAATGGTTTCAGAAGTAGGCAAGGGGATGGGTCAACCAGATTCGGGATGAATTTGAGCATGACACAGAAAGGAGAATGAGAGAGAAAGGTTAGTTGAATGTATATTGAGAAGTTTGATGTTGTGAACTTCTGCTTTTGTGATTTGGTTTCTGAATTCTGGAATAATGGCCCCTCGTACACCATTAGGTGAAGAATATTCTTCTACCAATATCTTTGATTGTAGATTGAGCAGTGTTTTGATTATTTGGTGTTCATTTGTTGGGTAGCCCAAGGTTGTTGCTCACTTCTTTTGTAGATTCCTAGATTTGATTGGCTATAGAACTTCCAAAATTCTGTGGACTGATGATTAAGCGCGCTACAGTTCCCATAAATTATGATTTATGCAGTTTTTGTTGTTACTAATTACTATTTGTTATTCTTGAATAAATGGTGACAAATCAAACTAAATGAACTAAAGTGCAAATCTACAACTACAAGAGTAAAATAGAAGGGATAGCTCAATTGGTTGACATTACTCCTACCCATAAACTACAAGGAACAAAATTGCAATTTGGCCCCAAATTGGGTTTAACCAAATTTTGTACTTCAAGTTCTGAGTTTGAATCTTCATACTTTTCTCCTAGAATCACTTGAACCAAAAACTACATGAGCAAAATCATAACCTGACGACAAACTCCAAGTGTACCAATAATAGTATGCTCTTACCTTTGCATCCAAATGATTCGTAACGGTCTCATAACTTAAAAAGTACTTTTGATTATATTGGAGTAGCATTGTGATCAATTTTGACAGAAAAATTACAACTATAGGTATGAAAACTTAACCAACTTGATCCATTAATGTTTATTTTAAACCAGAATTTGCGAAAATCAATTTATGTATCATTTTAACTTTATTTAGTAAGGTTTTAACTCCAAAGATTGGTCTAGTGTAAAATGAATAAAGATTTAATGTGAATTTGAATTTTTTAAAATCATCAACTTTGCTTTAACGTACCATTTAACTAGAAGCCAAATGGATCTTGTTGACTCGTGTGCCATCAAGACTGCGATACCACCCATATTAAAAAATAAAAAATACATAAAAAAGAAAAGAAAAGAAGAAGCCGGTTTTAGCTAGCCGGCGGTTTAAACTTTCGAGTCATTTGAAAACGATAGCGCGCCAGAAGGCCCCGAACTCGGCAAAAATATCCTCTATCCGAAGAGAAAAGGACAAGAATGTCCTCAATGTACAACTAACCGAAGCATGGAAAAAAATAGACGACGTCGATTTGTTAAGGCCGGCGCCAAAACGGCCCAAAAATTCACTCTCACTCAGTCGCTGGCAAATATTTGAAATTGAAAGCTGAAAAATCGCAAGATCTGATCCCGAGGCACCGCCGTTCAAGACGGAGCAAGAGAAGGGAGACAAGAAAACGACCGGGGAATGAGCCGGGCGACGCTGTGCACTCTGTTGGGTGAACTAGGGTACGAAGGGGCGGACGCATTGGACCCTGACAGCTTCGAATGGTCCTTCCAATACGACGACGCTCGACGCATCCTCGACTGGATCTGCTCCAGCCTCCGCCCCTCCAACGTCCTCTCTCTCGCCGTACTCTCCCCGTACTTTTTACATTCTTTTATACTCTTTTAATTATTTTTCCTCTAGTGAGGCATTAGTTCATCCATATTTTTGAGTTCTGGCCTGTACATGAAGATCAAGAAGAGATTTGGGCAGCATAGGAAATTTCTTGGTGTGGGTATCGCTCATTTGATACGTTTGTTTCATTTTCCTTGCGGTAAATCATGGCGAGAAGGGAGGATGTTAATGAAAGGATAATGTACAGAAATAGATGGAGTACTAGTATGCCTATAAATTCTGAGTAGTTTGGATAACGAAAAGCTATGCTTGGTAATTGCATTTTCGAGCTACTTGGTGATGTATTGTGGAATCCTGTTCCCAGTACTTATGGACTTCTTTTCTTCCCTATGAATGCAACTTTGGCCTATAATGCTGAAGCTTTACAGTTGCAGAGACAGCTCGGGCATCTGCATTCCCAATTCGACATGCTTACTGAATACTGATCAGGCTTCTACTCTGATCCAAGGGAGACGGGCACGAGTTGCTGCAACATCTACTGTCAATGGACATCTTACAACTATAGACGATAGCCTTGTTAGAAACTTAATTGGACTAAACTATCATTTAGTGAAGGACGAAATGTATTTGGTAACAATACAGTTTGACGTAAGTTGCAAACGTGGAAAAAACTGCTTCCTATTATTAAGGAAATATGGATATCAATTGTGGAGATAACTACCATCCCACTTATTTGATGAAACTGCTGTTAACTGACAAAAACCAACTCTCCATGATAGAGGGAAGTTGGTGAATGTTAATCTATAAAAGGACTCCCTGCTCGTAAAGAAAAGTTCTGCGTTACTGGGTTCTATCACCTTAAGAACATTAAGTCTTTCAACGAGTATAAGATATCCTTTTCTTGTTTGGCAATGGCTGCCTCAGGTATTATGTTAACCTCTGTTAGTAATCTAGGAAACTTGTTAGTATCATATACTCTTAGTTTTCCAACATTTGGTATCAGAGCCAAATTAACATATCCTAGATTCGAATGTACGTGTCGAACTGCATATGTTTTCAAGCATGTGAATTTTTATTTTTAATTATGACGTGTTGATCCAAAGCACATGACAGCACCGAATCGATACTTTCAATGCATCCATGCTTTCCATTATTTCATCTGACAACATATGATAGCACCGATACTTTCAATAAAATGCATGAGGGTGTTTTGCCTCAAAAGTTCTTTTAATGTCATGCAGCACTTACCATAATATTTTGAATTCACCAAAGTGAATGATTTGGATGTATATTCTGGCAAAGAAGGGTATAAAGATTCATTGCATGTTCATACTCTTTTCCAAAGGAAAGAATATATAAAATGCATAAGGTTGTATGAATCATTCCTTGTATAATCTTGTAATTATCTTGTCCAAAGACTTGATATATCTGTGATAAAAGATGATTGAAGTGGTCAGAATATACATGATGACTTTTAAGGGGTGTTTATATTTCTGACCAAAAGGGGATATATAAACATGTGTAAGTGATGCATGAAATTAAAAATTGCATTTAATGTTTTATATGGCTGCCTTAGCAACATCATCTGCACTTAGCCTTTCATCGATCGAGCCTCTCAATGGAGGAAACTTCAAAAGGTGGAAACAAGACGTTGAAATTTTGCTGGGCCTGATGGATCTCGATTTAGCATTGAGAGAAGATGAACCTGCACCGCTGGCTGACACTTCGATTGCTGAGCAAAGATTGAAGCATGAAAAGTGGCAGAAAGGCAACTTAACAGGCCTTGGATCCATTGTATTGTTAAATTGCATGACAGCGATAACATGGTACACAACTATTTTGGTTATTGCTGGTTTCTCATTTGTTAATAACTACGATTCTATGAGAGATACCATTATCCCGGGCTCGAGGGTACAACGGGAGGTCCATAGTGCCAATGCTTTAGTATGCGAAGAGGAATGAAGTGGCCTGCAATGACAGCTTCCATATAATCCAATTGTTCAACTTCGGACTCAATGAGTTGGTTCGTAATCCGGGTCTGGATCTTTCACCAACACCATTGAAGCATAAGATTGAGAAGTGGAATAGCATAATCTACCCCAATTTCTCAACAAGAAAACTATACAGCGGTGAACAAGTCGTTCGACACACTAGATACGATCGAAGATCATTTAAGCAGTTGGAGATACCTGTGTGGAGATGAACTCACACTTGCAGATGTTTGCTTGTTCACTATGTTAATCTGGTTCGATCTCATTCACAATTCGGTTTTATTTTTTCTGCTCCTATACTAACAGCTTGGTTTGCAGTAAAATGTTAAGAACAATTAGGAACATTGTTCTGTTACAGTAAAGGTAGAATATTTGCCGTTTAAAACTCATGAAACGTTCACATTCTTTTCCAAAGAAGGGGATGTATAAATTGTTGGTAGTTTTAATCAGTGTATGGTATCATGTAGATCATGCCATATTCTTGTCCAAAGACTTGTAATAAATGCATGATAAGATTCTTGAATGATGGCTATACAATGAAGGTCAATGGCAGTTTTTATCCCTTGCCCAAATGTGTGATATAAACATGCATTTAACAATCACTAATGGTTGTTTCAAGTTTTTCATGTTTTCCTCAGTCAAATTTTTATTCACTGCAAGAAAAGGAAAGACAAAGGCTCTTCTTGATGGCGGTAGAGGTTGCGTACACCCAAGCACACCAGATTGTGAGTATCACTAAATTTTGATGTATTTA